GAGCGACTGTCATGCAAACTGCCCCCTCAACCAACTGAACTCAAACATATCAACCAACTGAAAGCCGTTGTATTACACTTAAATTATATTGTAAGTTTGATTAAATTAGTGCATTAAATGAATTAATGGCAGTTTCCATAGCTATTCACTCATTTTTGCAAATGTTCAAATTGATCCCTATAAATAGAAGGGGAGAAGATGAATAAGAGACTTTTTCCCATACTTATCTACCCAGAATTCTCCAGAATAAGAGACTTTTTCCCATACTTATCTACCCAGAGTTCTCCAACTTTTCTCTCTCTCTCTCTCTCTCTCTCTCTCTCTCTCTCTCACATCTCGTGCTCCTGAAGCATGTATTTCTGAAAAAACAATCTAAGATCCAACATTCTATGGTGAGTGTGGACATGTCATAGACGAGAAGCGGAACAAATTATGAAGGTAAAACCTCGATGAGAGACGAAGCGTCCCAATAGGACGATGTGTGTGTTGAGACATTCAGGATGAGGTTCAGGCATTACGAGCGCAGATGATGGATCAGTTTGAGACCCTCCGGGCAATCATGACTCAGAGGAACTTTCAACCATCAATCTTGGAGGGAGAGTCTCAGGGAACTCACTCCCATAGAGCTCTCTTGAGAATCTGTCAGAATCTAGTGTTCCAACTGGCAATCGTTCGATCGAAGGACAAGGGGACTTCGAGCTCGTAGACAATGTAGCGTCTAGGCAGACAGTCAAGCACCAGGTGGCTTAAGTAGGAGCACCCACCAGGTCAACCGCAGGTAGTGTTTTTTCCCGTTTGATCCTAGAAACTATACTCGCGACAAAGCTGAGGATTCCCCATTTAAATCTTTAAAAAAGGAAGAGTCGCCACATGGCGATGATTGCGACATGGAATTTTACTTCATTGCCATTTTTAAGAACGAAATATTACTGATGCGTGCTAGAAAATTCGCTATATACATATATAAGATGAAAATTAATAAAGTTGTGATAACACCAGAAGTTTTTACATGGAAAATCCGAAAAGGGAAAAACTCACAGGGTCTGGCCCAATTGTAAAAATCTACTATAAGTTAATGATTACAGATGCCCCTCGTTCCACAGGCGTGAAAGGGTTATTAGCCTTCCAAATTACAATGCCGACTGACGACGTCTAGTCAACGGTGATTGACGGTGGTCGACGGAGGTTAGCGGTGGTCGACGGAGGTTAGCGGTGGCTGACAACAGTCGATGACGGTCGACGAAGATCGACAGTGGTCAGCAATGGCTGACGACAGTCAATGACTGTATGGGGGTCGACGGAGGTCAGTGGTGGTTGTTGACAGTCAGTGGTGGTCGACAACGATTAACGGAGGTCAGCGGTGGTTGTCGACGGTTAATGGTGGTTGACGACAATCATTGACGACGATCAACGATGGCGATGATGATCTTGGACTTGAGCTCCTTCTCAAAGCCTCAAGTTCTCTCTTAAGTTTTCTCTCATTCATGTGAGGAGTGAGGCTCTATTTATAGTATTTTGAGTGCAATTAATGCAGGAATATGAACCATCTTGATCAGACAGTCCGGAAAGCTTCCCTTGATCAGATCACGTTTGAGTGTCTTAACAATGTCAAAATTGAGCAATCTTTGGCTCGTTGGATTCATCTTGTCGAGACGCTCGATTCGATTATGAACCTGCTAGATTCGACTTCTGTTTGACCTTTCAAATGCATCTGGAACTCCTCTAAGAGAGGTTTAATGATTTAATCTGGGTTTGATTTGACTCGGATTTGACTCGGATTGGACTGACTTTCCCCAACTCGTCAGTCCGGTGTTCGTCTCATCAAGCCGATCTATTTGACTATAAGTTTGCTGAAATCGGAGCTCTGGATGACTCTTAATCAAAATTTGAATGTTTCTTATTCAAAAAAATTACCTCGAGATTCGTGTCAGATAATGAAAATTTGTTGGTTGTGTATCAATTACTAATCATATTTTTCAATCAAATAAATAAAAAATAATGAATAAATCATGTGAACTGCGGAACTAAAATGTCTTACATAAATTATGGATTTACAAATTAGTGATATTTATAACACCATCTTGTCTTTGGGTCTGTTTAGGGCAGTTGTAACTTATTGAATAATCTGGTGATAAATTGATTCAAAATAATCTAATAATAAGCTAGGTGAGGTGGTTATTACAAATTTTTATTTTTTTAGAAAAGCCATCAAAAAGTTGTCACCGCACCTATCTAGATGCGGTGTGAAAACGCTGTTTTCGGCGTTTTGAAAACGCATAAGCTGCCAAAACACAGTTTACTCAAATAAATCAGGTGTGTTTTCAAAACGGCACCGCACCCAATAAACTGCCCCAAACGGGCCCAATTGTTGACCCAGAAGACCCCAAGTCATTTAATATATATTTAATATATTTACAAAGTCACCCCTCATAAGAAAAATGCCTTTAAAGCCTGTGTGTGCAATAGCGTGCTCTTATTCAAGCACAGGCGGCTCGTGAGGTCCAGTTTGATCCATTCAATGCATGTGAATTCATAAAATTTATTCCATATATATCCATTCAATGCATATTTATATTATGTATGTAAATATTATATTTGAGGTGTTAGATGTGTAAATATATAAGAATTGTGTGGTCTGCATGTAAATGCCCCTCTTTATATTGCTCCAACAAATCTGTTGTCCAAGCCCTCAAGAACATACCATGTTTTAATATAGAAAAAAATTGTTGCAGACTATTTTAATTTCTGTCAGAAAAATCTTATGAACATATTAAATTTATTTCTCGTGTTGAGCTCGTCTATATTTCAAGCTCAAAAAGTATATTTGTGTTTGACTCCTTTACTTAGAGAGCCGAACACGAGCGGAACAAATAGTCATTTTAACAACCGTAATCGCGTAGCCATCAAATATTAAGGAATAAGACAAGCTTTAAAACATCATTTAAATTTAATTTAACAATTTTATTATATTTTCTTCATTAATACTTTTAATTGATTGATTATAAATCTTTGTAGCATTGTAGTCAACTAATTTTTTTTAAAAAGACTACTCAAAGATATATATGTAAGCGATTAGTAGTATTTCGAGCCAAAACGAGTCAAATGAGCCAAAACGAGCCGAACACGAAAGAACAAATATTTGTTCATGTTGTTCATGTTCAGCTCGTTAACTTAAACTAACAAGCCAAATCACAAGCTACTTAACAAGTCGAAAACAAGCTATTCGCGAACAACAACCCATTTTGATAGCCCACTGGCAACTCGACTCCTGTGACATTGTTCATGTTGTTCATGTTCAGCTCGTTAACTTAAATGAACAAGCCAAATCACAAGCTACTAAACAAGTCGAAAACGAGCTATTCACGAACAACAACCCATTTTGATAGCCCTACTGGCAACTTGACTCCTGTGACATTTTTTTGTCAAATAAACAAAACTGTATTACATGAAACATGCAGCTCCGATTAATAATTAAATTTACTTAAAATTCTAAATGCAGACACGTGACTTTAAGAAAATAATAACAATTACATGCATTTAGGGAATAAAAGGCAAAATATGTAAATTTTTTTATTACAATTAAAACCCTAACATTTTCACAAAGTCAGCAAAACAGAACACATAATAACAGATAACTAAAGTCATCAACAGAACTAAACAGCCAAAATCATCTCAGCACGCGGCTGCATAACCGCGACACATCCGACGGCTGCAGCGGCTTCAGAAGAAAATCCTCCGCTCCCTCATCCAAACACCTAAAACACCCCACCAACATATCCAAAATTAGACATTTAACCCCCAAATTAAAAAAAAAACATAAAAAATTTACGAAAATATCGTACGTCCGTATACGGTTGGGGACGTTTTCCGACGACATAATCACCACCGGTATCCCCTTCAACTCCGACGAGCCCTGCATGGCAAGGGCATTCCCGTAAATAAACAAAAAAAAATATATTTTTTTTACCACTTTGGTCTACCTTAATCTTTTTCAGCAGCTCCAGCCCTGTCATCTCCGGCATCCAGTAATCTGTGATTATCATGCTCACATTTTTCTCCTGCAAAATTTATTTTTTTTTCAAAATAAAATCAATAATTCCCTAAAAAAGTAATAAAAAATAAAAAAAATTAAAAAAAAAAAGAAAATACCATTCCCAGCAGATCCAGCGCACGCCTCCCGCTATCCACCGTAGTCACTGCAACGAAATCTTTCCCATTTTTAGCAAATAATAATTCATATATATATATATAT